CCGCCCCCCTTGCAACGCGTAGGCCAGGAGACTGCAGGAGCCGACTGGGCTGGAGCCCAAAGGTGGCCATACCCCTGCTCCCCGCCTGGCCCCTCTTCCACCGGGCTCCCCAACCGCGGAGAACCGACTGAAGCCGAAACCGCCATGATAGGTGCGGGCACCTGTGGAGGCTCCAAAACCCAAGTCAAGCCCTCTGCGGGCCACACCCCACCGCCCCGGGCTTCGGTCACTCACCCGGACCTTCATTGTATTCCGGCCCAGTCCGGCTGGAGTCGCTGAACACGGTGCGGCTGAAATTTCCCAGTCGCTGGCGAACTGGCGCCGGCAGCTCCATGCCTGGGCCTCAGTGTCCCTCGCCCCTCAAACCAGGGCCATGACCGCCGATCCCTGAGGCCTGCTTTAGCCTCCCGTCCTTCAGACGAACAGAAACCGGGGTGACAGTGCCGGCAAGGAGCCCTCACGCCTCGCGGGTGGGACTGTAAATAGGTGAAGGCTTTATGGCAGGACATACAGAAAGAATGCAGAGCTTGGGACCAGCAGTTAGCGTAATGGCTATGTCACTGGACTCCCATGTGGTTGACCTGGTTCGAGTCCCGAATCCGGTGGCTTAAACTCACGCCGGGCGTGTGTGCGTGCGTGCCCAAGATCCCTAGAGGAGAATGAAGGAGACGGGATTTCGGTGTGACCATCCCCCCTGGGGGGGTGATTTCTCACTTTCTGTCTCTCTGTCTCTCTCTTTCTGGTGAGCGCACGCACCCTATAGGACCTGACCTCTAAAAAAAAGGAAGAAAGAAAGAGAAAGAGAGAGAGAGAAAGAAAAAGAAAGAAAGAAAGAAAAGAGAAGAGAAGAGAAGAGAAGAGAAGAGAAGAGAAAAGAAAAGGGAGGGAGGGGAGGGTTTAAGGGATGTTCATGTTCCAGTGGTTTTTCTTCTAGGAGTTTGCGTGTGTGACCACATGCGATATTGTATACTGTTTTTTTAATGAAAGAATATATACACAACTGTGCAACTGATGAACCGTATTAGGCACATACACTCAACGGAATACTTGCCACACCTTAATGCAAACAATATTTGATAAGGATTGACTTTATGTAAGAGTCACAGAGCAAAAGTAAAACTGAATATAAATGAACCTAACTTAGCAAATGCGTGTGTGCATCTCTGTGTGTGTGTGTGTGTGTAAATACGTGAGAGGAGAAAAGGAGAAGAGGGAGTGTGGGCACACTTCAAAAAAAGACGGAGGGTGGGGGGAGCAGCAGGCGGGGGTGGTTAAGATGCTATACTCCCACATGGCCAGCCGGTTTGAGTCCCTGACCAGCAGATTGAAAATCATGCCAGACAGTGTCCAAATCCCAGAGAAGAGATTGGAGGAGAGGGCATTGCGGTGTAGCCATTTCCTTCCCCTTGCCCTCGCCCCCACTACCCCACAGTGAATTCTCACTTTCTCTCTCTCTGTCTCTCACTGGCAAGCACACCCCTATGGCAAAAAAAGTGAAAGAAAGAAAAAAGACTGGAAGGAAATATTGTAAAAATGTTAATAGTTATCTTTAAATAGTGGAGTGGTGGGTGATTTAATTTTTAAAAACCTATCTGTATTTTCCAGGTTTCTCCCAGTTAACATGTATTATTCAAGGGGAAAAAAAGTATTCAAGTGTAATATACACACAGGAAAATATTTGAATGGAGTATATATGTAACTGGCACTCATATCAAGAAGCAGAACCTCCCTAGCATCCTCAGAAACTCTCCCTTCCTATTTCCTATTGATCACAACCCCTGCCACGACTGACGTTATCTGACTTGTAATAGCATAGAATAGTTCTGCCAATTTTTATACTTCATATTAAAAAATCATACTGTAGGTCCTTTTTAAAAAAAAAAAACTGGCTTTTTGCTTTCAACCTGATTTTTTTTTAAATAATTATTTATTTAATTTATTTATTCACTCAGTCATTTTCATTTGACGAGAGAAAGGCACACAGAGAGGGGCTCAAAGGTGGCGTGGTGCTTAAGGGCACTGGACTCCCACATAGCCAGCTATGGTTTGAGTCCTGGACCTGGTGCCTTGCTTTCTCCTTCTCCCTTTCTCTTTCTCTCTCTGTCTATCCTGGTCAAATTAAAAAATAATAATAACAAATGGAATTAAATAAATTATTTTTTAAAAAGAAAGACACACAGAGAGATGCAAAGTGAGAAAGCAAGCCACCAGGTCCGGGACTCAAACCGTAGTCAGCCATGTGGAAGTGTCCAGTGCCTTAACCACCATGCCACCTGCTGACCCTCAACATTATTTTTATGAAATTCCTTCATATTATTGAGTGTAGATTCTTTGTCCATGCTGTGTGTGATCTATGTTCAAGTCTAGAACTGTTATGAATGGTGCCATTTTGCTCAAAAGGTGGCTCTTGGTGAGCACAGGCATGTATTTGTGGTGACTATTTCTAGGGGTGGAATTGTTGGTCATAAGGTACCTGAGGCTCAGCTTTAGGAGATACTGTAACAGTTTTCCATGGCCCACCAATTCTACCTTTAACAAAGTATGAATGTTCCTACTACTGCATATTTGTCACCCACATTTGTTATTTTCCATTCTTTCCTTTTAGCCTTTCTGATGGGTGTGCAGTAAACAGTATTCTTTTTACAACCAAAAGGAAAACCACACATATTTATATAAATGTCAAGAAGAAGGTTTGGGAAGCAGTAGCTTCATGGCTGGAATTTCAAAATAATGTAGCAAATGCTTATTGCATTCCCACTACTTTATTTTTTTCAGCATTGTACTAGGTTAATCAGGGATGTAGTCCCTCTCCATCAAGAAGCTTTTTCCAGCAAGAGTGAGAGACATGGAAAGAAATACAATACACTGTTAGAAGTGCTCAAATAAAGGGCCGCTAGTGAAGAAGAAATTCATTCTTGTTAGGAACATCAGGGAGAAGTAGATGGCTAACTTCCTCATTTCAAGATGGAGCTCAGGGCTCAGCATTTCCAGAAAGGCTTCAAGGACCTCCCTGAAGCAGGCTGAGGTACCTTCCTCTGCGTTTCCCAAAGTGTCTTTCTCTGTTAACTTTGGTTATAGTGCTGGCCACTCTGTGCTGCAATTGTGTATGTGCCTGTCCCCAGGGCTAGTCAGCAAGCTCTTTGAGGTCAGGGACGGACTTTCATCTTGCTGTCGCCAACACTGGCACAGCGCATGGCCTGAAGTGGGAGCTGGATGACTACTGAGTGACTAAGGGGAAGAAAAGGCCCAGTGATTACTGTCGCAGCTTCCCTTTCTAGTTCAAGGACATAGCCAGCCTTTGTGTAAGGTTCACTCAGTAGAACGGAGAATGGGTGTATTAAAACAGTGAATTATAGCTAGCAATGAAGTAAACGAAAAAACTCAGTATCAAAGAATCGCTTTTCATCTGTTAAATGAGCCAAGACTTTTGTAAAGAGTACAGTGAAGCAGGAGGCCTCAGGCTCTGCTGATTGAGTTGCATTTTGGGCAGCTCAGTTGAGACGAGGGTTTGACAGTATATAGAAGGCAATTGACAGTATGTACAAAAAGCCTTTAAAATGTTCCTGCCTTGAACATAATAATCCAAATTTTAAGACTCTGGAGGAAATAATCTTATACACTGATGTGTTATTTTCAACAATATTGATACTAGTTTTATAAAGGGGATATGGTGGACATTCAAAGTGCTCAATCCCAGGGCCATGTAGAGCAGGTTCTGATAGTCACAATATTCTGATATTCATAGGATGTGGTGGAAAGAACACCCTTGGAAGCAGAGAGGGAGAGCTCAAATCCCCCAAAATTCTCAATATACTTCCTAAGAGCCACATGATTGATTCCAGATCTTTATTTTATAAAATGAAAATAATGCCATCTTACTGTTGTGGTTGATGTGAAAATTATTTCATTAAATAAGGATCTCTATACATGATAGCTGTCATTTACATGTCTATTAAAATGATGGTTGTGAAGAAGAAATACCTACAGTGGAGTCAAATAATGCTAGCATTTAATTTCAGAATTCTACCTGATACCTGCACTGCAAGGTAATGCCTCTGTTGCTTTTCTAGTGAAGACAGCGGCTGCAATTAACCACTGAGACAGCATGTGCATGTGAACCAACTCATCAAGAGCTTGAATGAATTATTTTAAAGATTTTGTTCCCTGGAACTGAAAAATAACATGAAACTCTTTGTTCAGATAGTAATTATTTCATCAAAATCCTGGAGGAAGAAATCAATAGAATTATGAATATTTTCCTTCCTAATTTTGTTACTCTGATTTCCTGTAATGAGGATGCATTTCATAGTTAGGGAAAAATCTTATTAAGAAATAAATCAAGGGGCCTGGGGCCGGCAAGTGGCATGGTGGTTAAAGGCGCTGGACTCCCACATGGCCAACCACGGTTCAAGTCTCAGACCTGGTAGCTTGCTTTCTCACTTCCTCTCTCTCTCTCTCTGTCTCTCTCTGATCAAACTGGAAAATAATAATGATAATAATAATAAAGTTAAATAAAATAATTCTTAAAAAAATAGAAAGAAATCAAGGGGCCCAGTGGTAGTGCAGTGTTGGTGCAGCCTGACCCGTAGAGAGGATGCTGGGATGTCGTGCTGGCACCTGCTTGAGAGCACGGGGCGCGTGTGCCTATGGCTGGGGCTACCTGAGGCTGGAGTAGACAGTGGTTTAGGGGCCCTGTTAGGAGTGTGTGTGTGTGTGTGTGTGTGTTTCTCTCTTTGTCTTTTCCTTTCTCTCATGGAAGAAATAAATATATAAACTTAAAAAAATGTAAAACATAAGTTGAGAGAAAGATGCAATGATGGTACAAAAGAATATGGGGAGACTTCAAAAGCTCATGGGAAAAAATGGTATTAAAGTATGAAGACTCCATAGCATTAGAGAAGAGAATTTGACAGAAAAGAAATGTGGTTTAGAGAGAGTCAAAAAAAGCCTTTCCAAATGCTGTTTTGTTCATTGACATGATGTTGACGGACAATCACATTAGTGAAATACTGAAGTACACAGGAGGGGATCCACTCTCATGGAATCAAGAGAGTAGCATAATTTGGGTTTTCTGTATTCCAGAGCTATTGCTCATTTCAATTTAGAGAAGAAGTAGGGAGTCTGTTTTCTTAAAGTCATGAGACTCATTCCCAGCAAGCTGATGAATAACCATATAAAACTAAACGGTTTAGATCTTATACCAGTGTTAATGTTCAGAGTAATAGCTACATCTCCAAAAACTGTTCATGTATTTCATTGGGTTTAATTGCATTGTGATTTACTTTATTTATCTTCATGAACATTTTAAGGCTAATGCAATGGTTTGGCTTCTTTCACAAGAGGCAAAGTTGTCTGATCAAAGTTGTCTGTCTAAT